AAAAAAAAAAAAAACGGAGCAGATCTCGATATGGGAGTATCATTATAGTCGACTTCTTCGGGTTCAAGGATCGAAGGTCGATTTCACGTTCGATCTCTGATCTTCCGGGTGTCATCCCGACTCGGCTGAGGCACGGCACCACCATATAGCTCCTGTATCGAAGCAGCGCGTAATTTTAGTCCGAGACAGATCAGGTGTTACGAGGGTCCGGGAGCGTATTAATCATTCTGAATGTACGTGCGCGAACCGGAGGAGAGGAAGGAACAAAGCTGGTCTCGGAGACTGTGCGGCGGAGGCTTGTACGCGAAACTGGTATCCATAATACGCTTATCTCGCGATCAGCCGCGACTTTAAGCGGCGTGCATATCGCCGCCGATGCACCCAGACCCGGTTGCATATTGGGACTCCGTAATTACGGAGTCTCGCTCGCCTGCTCCTGGACCTCCCTCTCGTCTCTCCCTATCTTACATTCCGGTACATTCCGGCTATTCTCCGCGCTTAGGTCTGGTTAGAACGTGCCATGCCGCCACCTGTACCCGCCAGACGCAACGGGGGTCTTATATGGCAAAGGCTCTCCTCTGATCTTCCATGCCACGCGAGGTCGTGCGGATGCATTTTGCACGAGAGCCGCGCGAAAACGACCGCCCCGTCACGTGTGTCTGTGTACGTACGTATGTGTATGTGAGTTTCCTTTCCTTTTTTCCCTTGCATTATTGAGTCTCGCGAGTTAGCCGTTTGCTCGCGCTCTCTCGCAGCTGCATGACGGGCGGTCACGAATGCGCCACTGAACTCGCGTTAATTCGTATCGTACATTTTATAGCATAGTTCTTGTAGAGAGTAACTGGATGTTATTAACTTCACTGTAATCATGTAAGTTTCTTTCTCCTTATACAGAACGCGCGCGAGGACTATATATGTCAACGATCATTTTCATAGCTTTAATGTTACACACATGACAATAAATCTTATCTTTCAATTAATTTTTAATCGGCATTTTAGTTTAATAGAATTTTAACCCGTAAAGCCCGAATATATTATATAAATACTCTTTTGTTGTTTAATTACATGTATTTGTTTTATTCTATTTTTTATAAAATTTTTTTACAAAAATTATTTTTTTTGTATTTTTGCTAGAATCAAAAGTTGCGACAGAGCAAAAACAGAAAATAATATAATATCGCTATATATATTTTCTAATGGTCGATTTCATGGGACGGTACGGTTAGACGGGTTCATCGTACCTGGCGCAACCCTGAACTTCACACTTACCGCAGTGCGTTAAAGTGATATAGGACTATGGCGGTGACAGTGCAGACTGGTATTAAATTCGCTAACGAACGTTACGTGGTTTATAATCGTTTAACGGGTTGAAACATAATGATTACACGAAGAATTATAGGTCATCGTATACTGTCATCGATGACTTCAGGCGCGTCTCTGGTCGTCGCGGATCACTTCTTCGTGATCTCAGAAATCTTTTATCTAATGCTAATCGAAATCTCTGAAAATCTATATTTTCATAGAATATATGATGTACAAAGATATCAAAACAACAAAAGAATGTGTTTATATAATATTAGGTCTACCGGAAAGTTTTGTCCGTTTTTGGAATAAAACAAAATACAAATTTTTATTATCGTCAATAAACTTTATTAAATAATGTAATTGCCATTATTCGGAGAAGTATTGTCAGCAACTGGATAATTTAAATACAGCAGTCCATGAAAAGAGGCCGGCGATGTTCAATAGGAGGAACATCATACTGCATCATGATAATGCTAGGCCACATGCTGCTTTGGGGACTCGTCAAAAAATTGCAGAACTAGGCTGGGAAATTCTGTCGCATCCACCATATTTCCCGGACTTAGCACCCTCCGACTATCATTTGTTTTTGTCCTTACAAAATTTTTTGAGGGGCGAGAAATTCAAAAATGAAGAAGATATCAAATAAGCATTGGTTCAATTTTTCGCATCAAAAGATAAAACATTTTTCGAAAATGGGATATGCAAATTGCCCTCACGCTGGCAAGAAATCATTAATAATAATTGCAATTACATTATTTAATAAAGTTTATTGACGGTAATAAAAATTTGTATTTTGTTTTATTCCAAAAACGGACAGAACTTTCCGGTAGACCTGATATATATTCTCAAATAAACTAAATGTATAAGGCAAAAAGATTATTTCGGATCCGTAATCGAACAATAAGCAAGCCATTACTAGCAAGATATCATATTTTTCTACTGCATTTACTTTCTATTTAATGCGCAATGTAATACCACTTGTATTAATCAATTTCTATATAAGCTCTTCATAATATATCATTGTACATAAAAATATTTTACAGACCAAATATTGAATCGGAATAAGGTATTACACAATATAAACTACATTATTAATATCACAATTATAGTGTGTATCAATATATGTTATGTCTATGTTTTCAATAGTTCATATATATGTACATCAATATACTCAAATTGATTGTAAAAAATGTAAATAGTAAAATATGATACAGAGTGTACATTGATCGATTAAGATGCAATACAGAGATACAACACAGATTGTATGTTTCTACAAACAACGTCTTACCATATCTGCGTACATTGCAACTCGTATATCTTCGCACGAAATCTCTACATGGCGAATATTCTTCACATAATTCCCAGCTAACTGAAAAAAGAAAGAATAATTTTTCATTTTCTTAAACGATACCATAGAATAAAAGGAACAAACAGTAGATTTAAAGTAATTTAATTTTGCAATAGAATAAGTTACCAACCTTCAGAATATCAGCGGAAATATATTCCAAAACCCCAACTACAAATAGACTAACTTGTGAATCAATTTTGTGCTGTAATACTTCCTATTAAAAAAGAATTACACATAATTAATTAAACATAATTAATTAAATCAATTATACACAATTTTGACTCTATAAGATCTGTATACTTTACAATTTGCAAATATACAAATATATAAATTAAACATTGTATAGATATGTACTTTTTGTAGTAATTGATGAATCTTGTCGACGGGTAGCACTAACGGCGACTTTTTTTTTCCTTTCTCTAATGCATCCCTTGCATCACGCAGCGCCCATCTGTCAATGGGAGTAGGAAATGTTCGTCTTACTCTTTCCTCTACATCTTGGGGGGTTTGAGGAGGTGGATGTCCACAAAGCATGCCTAGCATTCTTAAAATTAAACTCTCCACATAATCTAACGCATCTTGTCGAGCTTCGAGACTAGGATGTACTTGCTCTAGTACCTACAAAATTAACAATTTTCTTTGGCAATTAATGTAAATATCTACCCACATTATCAGGCAATTGCTGTTGGCCCCCCCCAAAAAAAAATAAATAAATGAAGATATGCTTATATATCGTAAAATTAACAATACTTTGAATACATCGTCGAGCGAATTTTGACAATCGTAACAGAGTATAATTTAAAATATCTATGATTATAGTTGCCGAATTTGACACAAGTACAGCGCGTAATTGAAAAATCATATGGTGGTCACGCACGCAGCGATGACGTCGGTCGGTGCCAATGATCGATCCAGCCCCGATGCAAAATCATCGGAACGAAAAATGATCGAACGAACAAAAAAAAAAAGAAAGAAAGAAGAAGAGGCAGGGATGAACTCTGAAGGGGATAGAACGGGATGGGGATAGAAGACGAGAAAGCGAAATGTAAGGATATAGAGAGAGAAAGAGAGAGAGAGAGAGAGAGACAAGGATCAAAGTGGAGGAGACAAAATGGGAATCGTGCAAACAACGATGCGTGTACCTTACGTAGGGAGTTGACAAACACTCCCTTCCACTTGGCAGCGTTCTCCTCTTTCTGAAAGTCGTAGCCTGGCGGCTCGCCCACCACTGACGCCGGCGATGAAAACATTTCACCGTGCTCGAGGAATCACCCACATACACGCACGCACATACACACACACACTTAGTGCGCTTATCTACAGAAGGAACCGGAAAGCTACGGAGAGTTCATGAAATTTCCAAAGAGAATCGGTCCGTTTCATTTCCCGGAGCAGTCTCTCCGTCCCGTTTTCACATTGAGTGCTCTCTCTTCCTCTCTCTCTCTTTCGACGTTCGATAGCTAAACCGCCCGATTGTACCCTCGCGCTGATCTCGCGCTTGTTGCTCTCGGCAGCGTCACCAAGGCCGGACCGAGCGTGCCAAGAGTCCGAGAACTCCGGCACTGATGCATCTTTACAAACACGCCCTTCACTCTCGGTTAATCCCTCCGTTGGAATTCACAACTGACACCAGCGGGTAATATCACCAACGGCTACCATTGCACCACTCTAATAGTCAGAATAGTAAGTCTCGCGCGAACGTTCGCCTCGCTTCCTCCCCCGCTTCGTCCCGACTGGCAGCACCATTCGCCATTCGCTTCACTTCCTCGCGTCCTCGCTCTCTCGTATCGTCTAGTCTCGTCGTGTTTCGTCTCGTTTCGTTCCGTCAAGTTTTCGCTCTCTTGCTCGATCGATAAAGTGAGAAATGCGATACCGCATCATTGTGCGATACGAAATCCGAGTGAAGGAGAGTCGACCCGCAAATCGATAGCGTCGAGAGAATCGAAACGATCTCTCGTAGCTTCGAATTCGAATCGTGACCGTGCTATAAATTGCTCGCTATATTTAGACCATATACAGGGTGTCCCAGATCATCCGTACACCCCTTTTAAAATGAAAATAAATGGCTTTTATCAAAAATCGCGAACATTTTTTTAAGTAAATCGGCTATGCTCTATCGAATGGTGATATTTTCAACTTTTGATTCCGACCGGAAATATGTCATCCGGACCGGAAGTTGAATTTTTTGAGGGGAACATAGTACTTTTTATTACAGATTCGAATTGTACGTGAAAAAATAAGAAACTTTTGTATCAAACATTTTTTCTGAAAGTGCCTCTGTCAACCTTAACATTGAAGTTCATAATTTCATCATTCAGTTACTTTCAAAGTCAATTTTAAGGTTGACAAAGGCACTTTCAGAAAAAACGTTTGATAAAGTTTCTTATTTTTTCACGTACAATTCGAATCTGTAATAAAAAGTACTATGTTCCCCTCAAAAAACTTCCGGTCCGGATGGCGTATTTTCGATCAGAATCAAAAGTTGAAAATATTACCATTCGATAGAGCATACCCGATTTACTTAAAAAATGTTCACGATTTTTGATAAAAGCTATTTATTTTCATTTTAAAAGGGGTGTACGTGTGGTCTGGGACACCCTGTATATAAACAGATGATTTTAACTTTTTCGGATATTTATCTACCCAATTATAAACTATCAGTCTGATATCTGAATTCCCTATATTGGAATTGCATCAGAAATTAAACTGATAGGAATAATTACATTTTTAATCTCCTGGCAGTTGCTCTTTGCAAGCTTTATACATGTATAATTCTCATGACTGAAACTCAAATACGAGATGGGGCGCATCACGCGTCGCATAGCGGTAAATAAACGAACTAGCGACTGAAGTCTGAACTATCTTTTTGTAAAGTTTTGAAATGTTGCGCGCAGTAAAATTTTTCGTGAAATATTAAATAAATAATAATCTTAATAAATATAAAGAAAAACAGGCAACATGAGCCAGCGCGGTGTGGAAAGCGCAATAAAATGTCTAATAATAATTATAAAATTAACGCACGCGAATTTCGGTCCCTTTTTTGGACCTTCATCAGCGCATTGATGTAGATTCAGTTAAAATTAAAACATAATAATAGTCGGAGTCATAAAATATAAAAAAATTATAAAAAAACTAAAAAATCGGTATGGAGAAGTCATCGCAGTCAAGCCAAAACATGGTCAAAAGTCATCGTCCATAAAGTGCGCTCCTCTGTGGTTGATGGACCACCAGAGGCATAAACCCCATGGTCCACGACTACTAGTCAATAAGATGCTTATTATTGCAACGATCGCAGGCATCTCTCTGCCTGAAACATTCAAATTACGTGGAAACGCACGCTTGACGGAAATGATAATTTAAAGCGATATAATGTAGAGAACTTACAGAAAGAGATGCATAAATTTGCTTGTTATAAATATCGGCAACGATCAGAAATAAAAAAAAATAAACAGCAAAACAACACAGATAATAAATTAAACATAAAAATTAATTAAACAGTAATCAACGCGCACTCCTTTTCAAACTCAAAAACCAACAAGTAAACATATAGTAGACAGTTCGTAGACTAAAAGATTTCAAAATATTTACCTAGAGAGGTATATCAGCGGAATTGTTTACAAATAAAGTAATCAGACGTTTGGGAGTTTTTCAATCGCGTTGACATAAGCGTAATATAAGCATTCCGTAGCCGTCTGTAGATTCAAACTATTTTTTTGTCTTTTTATGAAAGCATTTCTGAAATTAGGCGTTTGCTTAGGTGAGGTTCATTATCTAAGATCTCGACATTATTCCAATTAAAATCGTGATTAAGATTCAATCTATGATCCATAATAACTGAACTGTTAGATGTATTTCTACATATATGATTACGATGTTCGTTGATTCTCGTTTGTAATCTTCTACTAGTCTGACCAACGTAAGATGCATCACAGTCATTGCATTTAATTTTGTATACAACGTTGGTAGAAGAGAATTTCAGAAGGACATCTTTATGAAACTTCTTTGTCATTTCTTTTATCTTTTATCATATGATTATAAGTGTATCAAAGAATAATTTTGGATATATATAAACATGCACATCAAATTCAGTTATTAATATTAAACAATATTTCATAGTTTTGTAATATAATAATACCGTATTTTCAAGGGTTTTGAACAGAAAGTCATGTAAACTTTATAAGTATCATAAAATATTTATTATTTTCCTTATATAAATACGTTAATTTTAATATTGACGTATTTACAACATTAGTTAATTGATCAGTAAATAATCTTGAAAAGACGATTAAATGACATTATTTCTGTAACCAATCACTACTGATTGATTGATAGTAGTTGGGGGTCAGATAGTAGTTGACTACAGGTGAAAGGCATTATTGACCACGACTGTACATTAACTTATAAATATAATTACAGAAAAACCTAAAAATCTTATTATTTTATGAAAAAAGTATTCAGTATAAACTGTGATAATCAGTTAAAGAAAAATCGAGGATCTTACTATTTTTAATTTAACAATAACTTTAGTTGAACGGAAGAAATATAGAAAATATTACATAAATACTACGAAACTTCTTTGTCATTTCTTTTATCTTTTATCATATGATTATAAGTGTATCAAAGAAATAAAAATACAGTTGTGTATCGTTGTGAACTATCTCTATGAGTTTTGATGATTTAATTCTTTTTTATATTTCCTTATTGTTATCAACTATTGCTTTTCTATGTAGATGCAAATGGTTTAATGACTTCAGAATTAATCTAATGCATAATTTTATATACGTTATTACTATGAGAATGTTGTCAGCTAAAAGTTGCATCGTACATCATGACACGATGTATGTATACATATATACTTATATATAATCAAATATATAAATATTTATGCAAACCAAAATTTTCCCGTTAGATTAAAATTATATTTGATCTTATATAGTTTTATATAATTGTATATGTCGTGTTATTTGTATGTTTTAATACGATGCTTATTTATTAAAAGATTACTTTGCTTTACTATGTACACGTGTGCTTTATTATATGAATATAAAAAGGAAGTTAATTGGTAACAAAAAGAGAGATGGCGTTAATATCCGGACCCG